CCACCACCCTCGGGCAAAGTCACACAGATTAGTTTAGCACAGTTATAAACTTTGGTCCCGCTAATAAATCTGCCGTGTAGTAATATTTTGTCATGCCACCCCCACCCCCTCCTACCCCTCGCGTGGCGGTAGAGGGGTGGTACCCCCCTCCTCTCTCCCCCTCCGCCCCTCGCGGCGCTCCCGCCCATTATCTGACGGAAAGACGCGCAGGCAGGCGTCGTCACACGGCCGGTCCTCCCTTCGACCAGAAGGGGGGGGGGGGCACTCGGTCGGTATGGGGGCTAAGTAGGCCGGCCACAACGCTACCCGCACACCAGACAAGTAATTTTTAGGAAATTTTCCAAGATTTTTGTATGGTTCTCGTTTTATTTTTTTTAACTTTTTTTTCCTGGAAATATTTCAATTTTTCTTCGAATTTGCTCTGTTAAGACTTTAAAATTCCGATCAGGCGAGGAGGAAAGTGGGCGAGAGGTGACAGAAATGTGTGGAGGGAAAGGGGGGAGGGGAGGAGAGGGGTAAGCGCACCTGCTTGGCACGAAGTGGTGGTGGCCGGCGGTATTAATCCACTCACGTTGAGTCTGTTACCACGCTGCCCGCGGTTTCTGTCTGGGGTCTCCTCCCCCCCCCCCCCTTCCTTCTGTCGTCTACCTAATTTCTTCCTGTCAGCCGCCGCAGACCATATTGTGCAGAGGGGGGGGGGGGGAGGGGGCGTCTCGCCCCTGCTGCACCGCCTAACGCCGCCGCGACACACTACAACAAAACGTGACATTTCTTCCGAAAAAAAATAAAGTGAGAAGAAGTGCTTTGTGTACGGAGACGTCAACAAACTCTGACATCTGACAGTAACGACTAAAATAAAAAGGGTTCAAAACCGAAATCGAAGCAACTCCAGTGCCATAGTGGACCTAAAGCAGCTGCACCCCTCTTTCCACTCTACGATCTGTTCGTTTTGCACAATGAACTTCGGACCGGAAGGCGACTCACGAGCGTTTTAATCACGCGTCATCCCTAAACAAGGCAGAAGATGAGCGACAGTCTAGCAGAGGTTAGGATGCGTGTCGTTGGATTTCAAACAGTTTAGAACAACGGGCCTATGCATCTAGCACATTGGTACCACCTATACCTAAGTTTATTATTACGTCGGTTGAGTCATCATCATTGAGTTAAAATAGTACCAATGCAATATTTCTGTACACTAACCTAGACAACGACATCCGGACAATTTAGAAAATTGTTTAAACTTACTTTTCCGAAGCCAAACTTTACAGAAGCAGTTTTTGACACAAGATTGCCACGCCGGTCTAATATAGACCAAATTCTTCTTTATAAATTCGACAAAATTTGATTTAGCATCACACATATCCACTTGCGACAAAACACAGTACGGTCGCCGGCGTTCTGCTTTGTTTGGACGGCGCTACGCCACGCCACCTCCTCAGTGCCACCTTCTCCTTGCTCCTCTTATCGGACAAACAACTTTCTCTCCTCATAATCATGACATAATATTCCGATTGCTTGTCAGCCGCGCGCGTCCGTCGACACGTCGACACCGCTCAGCCGGCTGAGCGGAACTGAGGAGAGGAGTGCGGCGGGGACGAGCGCACGAGCGGAGGAGTGGTCGGTGGAGGAGGGG